GGGTAGTTGATGAGTGGAACAGTCTACCTAGTTGGGTTATTGAGGCTGGGACTTTGGGTAGTTTCAAATCTAGGTTGGATAAGTACATGAGTGGGAGGGGTTGGATTTGAGTGGGACTTTCACATCAGAGCTTATTCCTTGGGTGGCATTGAAAATTGGGTTGGGCAAATGTTTTGTTAGTGGGATGAATTGTAAAGGACCTGCCTAGTATGGGCCAGCAGGCCTCCTGCAGTGTTCCTCCTTTCTTATGTTCTTATGTTCTAATATAATCTATACAGTCCACAATTAATTAGTAGCGCCGTACTTGAGGGTGCTACCCAATTTATACTGGTCTCGGATAGATATGGATAAGATAGTGAGGGTCGAGGGGCCACCTGCAGTGACCAGAGGTGGTTAAGTTTTCTCACATGTCTACACGGGGTGACTACGGTAAACAATATAGTTGTCTCCCAAGGAGATTACTCGTATGCATGTAATGTTGAGGTATGTACAAGTAATCACCCCTATAAAATTTTCCATACCTACCATCATGTAAAACAATTACAGGCTTTCGTTTTACACTCACTTGGCAGGACGGTAGTACCTTCCTGGGTGGTTGCTGTCTATCAACCTACTACCATGGAGGTATGGGAACCAAATAATGGGAGCATGGGACTCGAACTCTGAACAATTAACTGTTTTTCTATAAATAAATAAAATAAAATTTTTATTTTTTCAGCTGTTCTATTCCAATCTATCCATATGTAAAGTACAGCCAAGCTACTGACATCTTTTAAGTCATACTGTTGCCTAATAGGCCTGGTGGTAACGATATGATTTCCACAGTCTGGTGAACGGGGGTATGGGGACATACTGGGTAATCTACTGGGGATCTGTAGTCGTATTTAAGAACCTTTGATATTGGTGGTAGTAGCCACCTTCCCTTCCTGTCGCTGGTAATCTACGAGTTTTGAGGTTGAAGAAAAAAAAAACGCGTACAGCTCGAGCGGCTGGATTCTCAATGTTTACAAGACTGACTCACATATACGTATTCTAGGGCGATTCTGACTCCCTGTTTCATGTATGTTGGCAGGAGAGGCAAGGTAAGGACGGGTTCTGGGGCTATGCTAGCCGACTACACACATTGCTCAAGAAGGTGCTGGATGAAGAGCTGGTCCTGCAGCAGGTAGTGTGTCACCCTTCCTCAAGTGTAAGTATATAACCTGGCTTGTCTAACATTTGACCACTACTTCAAAAATCAATAACGTGCTTGAGAAACCGTAAAGTAAAGAAAAAAAAACTTGAGTGAAGCAATTTAAAGCAAACGAGGCCAGACTATTGTCAGATGGAATCAGCATTTCCAAAGTTTTCGTATGCCATCTAAGAGAGACAGTGAGAATATATTGCATATGCATGGATCTATTTTAATTATACTGGTGTAGGTAGGCCGAGTTTACTGGTACGGTGCTTGGCTCTGCCTGGTGGTAGCACGCCGCTGCTTCCTAGCATCAAACTGCCAATACAGATTGAAATGGTATTCTGACTTGATGATTTTCATGTGTGAAAATGTTGCCTCACAACAGTAAAATTATTCATGAAGTGCTCTTACTTACATATCACCTTTTCCAACGTTCGCAAGTTTATTATCATTGAGTACATTGCAAAAGGTACCTACAGAGGCGAATGGGTTCAATTTCTGTGTCGTTTTGCTGAGTCAGAATTTCATCCAAGGTTGCAGATATGTCCATAATAATCAATGTTATGGGTCCAGGCACCAAAGTTTTGATAACTGAACAAGTTACATTGGTAATGAACTTTTCACATGTTTATATTTGGTAATAAGTAATAAGTTAATTATGCAGACATAAATTAGGTCACACACGTAAAAAATGATAATGCTTTATTTACAGTGAGCAAAGTCAGGGTATTTTTCCAGAAAAGTTTGTAATATTTCACTGTGGATAAAATACTCTGACATTTCTTGAACATTTCTGAGTGAGTTGTCTCTGAATTCATTAATTTGATCGAATGCCAGTACATAATGAGGCAGGGTGTGACAGTTGTCCATCTGGCAAAGTTTATATTTCGTTTGGTCTACATCTGGTGGTGGTGATTAAACTTCTCAGAGTTACTGGTACCCAGCCGGAGCCGGGCGGTAGTGACATCCAAGAATCTGCTTATTTTGTCGGATGCACCATAGACATGTGGCTCCTGCATGATAAAATGATGACAGATTGGATGGTATCACATGAAGTTCAGCTGAAGTTCTTTTCGTATTATTGTTCTCAACCTGCTAATTGAGACAGCCCAAGATTATAATGTATTCCCTTTCTGAAGTCATATAACTTAGCCAATTCATCAGTTCTCTCATGCATGGGAGATGGAATCCACAGAAGGTGCACTCCTACTCCACTAACAGTGATAACATTTTTAATGTAATATCATTACTGCTAGTATTTGCATCAAAAGGGAAGCACATAAACGTTGTACACGTTCTAGTGTTGCTAAATTTTGAAGGACTTTGTCCAAGTCTCCAATAAAATTCTGTAACAGTTCAGCATATTGACGACACTGCCTGTCCAGCAGCATTTATGAGGGACTCATTACCTCGTCTTCCATTGTCTTCTGTATGTATTTCTACAATCTTCAGATTATGTCCATGTATTGTACTGATAAAGCCACTGAATGGCGAAGCTTCTACAAATAAAGATACTCAGATATTCCTGAATATGATGGTGTTGCACATGTTTCTAATTCTTCATAATGTATAACTGTTTTATAGTAGTAGTAGTAGTAGTAATAATAATAATAATAATAATAATAATAATAATAATAATAATAATAATAATAATAATAATAATAATAATAATAACAATAATAATGAGAAGAAGAAAAAGAAGAAGAATAGTTTCTCGTGTACTTTTATGTGATCTTAAAGAAGGAAATAAGATAATACAATTATATAATCTGAATACAAAGGTGAATTAGTATTCATTTTAGCCAGTGCTTATTCATGTCTCTTTATAACTCAATGTTAAATCAATATTATTACTCGTTCAGGAATTCTTATTACACCAGAACTACGAGTTTGTTTTGGAAAACAATAATACCCATGAATGGCTTTTTGGTGCTAATAACTCTAGAACTTTTCGTTTTATTCCATCAGGACCCAGAGGATGTCATCAGGGAGGGTCAGGACCCCAGCCTCACTCGTGCATACTTTGGGGTCACAAACCTGGGTGATCTGAGCTCCTATCTACCTGAGACTGCTCATCAAACTCCTGCTCAGTCAAACACTGGTGTGACCTGCTCTGATCTGACCCCATCCTCGGGGGCTGGTGAGGTGCCCTGGGTGCATCTCACCCGCCTGCACCATTCCACCACCTGCCACTCCACCGGGGTGGTGTGTCAGCATCTCCTCCATACATTCCGGGGCAGACTTCTCTACAACCTTGACTACTTCACTGACAAGATGCGTCAACAAGAGGCACTTATCTATAGCCGCCTCACTCTCCACCTACTCCTCCGTGCGCTCCCTCACCCAGCTTAATAAAGGAATCACCATTAGGAGGCTCTTATCTATGGTTGTCTTACCAGCCACCCTCTCCGTGTTCTTCCTCATCCAGTCCAATCCAAGAAAGGATTTTGAGACCTGGAAGAGATTAGATTTTTTAGATTTTGCCACCGAAGTGGCTAGTTTATTGTGCACCCCATATCCATCCTGTGGACGGTAGCGCGAGAGCATATGGATACACAAAAGGCCTAGGAACTAGGCCCCAAAGGGTTAACAGGAATACATATGGATTTATATCTACATATCTATAGTTCACTTATCTGTTACAAGCAAATTTAGGAAATTTGCTTAGTATATCTGGTATCTTATTTTCATTAATAAGATATCTTGACATGTCACATAGGTTATTATACTGTCTGTCTCTGTATTCCTCAATAAGTGGACAATTAAGCACATAGTGTTCAAGAGAGTGACCATATGCCTGATCACATAATTTACATTTAGTTTGATCATCATCTGTGTGTCTCCCAAACTGCCAGAAGTACTTGTAACCAAGCCTAAGCCTGGCCACTACAACATCAGTCAGTCTGTTCACATTGCAAGTTGCTCCATAAACATACTTATCTACGTTCATGTTATCATAGTGGGTTATAGATCTACTCAGGCTTCTAACTGCATTCCTATAACAATCATTTTCATTATTTACTTCTCTCCTAATATTATTCCTAATGCTAGACACAGTTATACCAAAGTTATATTCTACATTCTCCTTCTCGATACTCTTCTTGGCTAACATATCAACTTTATCATGAAGGAGTAATCCAATGTGTGATGGGATCCATAGCAATTGTACATTAATTCCTTTGTCCCTAATTTTTGAGTATCTATACCTGGCTTCCCCAATGAGCATGTTGTTGGAGTCATTATATGAGCCAAGAGCCTCAATGATGACATAGAATCAGTAATGATGATAGAGTCAAGCTCAGTGTCATAGGTTAGCTTCAGCGCCATTAGGATTGCAAACAATTCAGTTTGCAGTGTAGACGCCCAGTTGTTAATTCTTATGCCTAACTCAACAAATTTATTATCGTTCTTAACTAGGGAGGTGGCAACAAGAGCAGATGCAGCCCTGCCAGAAGACTCCTGTTTAGATCCATCAGTGTATATAACTTGTGATAACTTGTTACTACCAGCTAGGTGAGAAATTTCTTCTTGAGCAGTTGCTCTAACAAGAGATTTAAGGAAGGGATTATTAGCAATGAGCTTCTTGGGAGAACGGATTATTAATACGGGGTTTTGTGTTCTGAAGACTTTTTTGAACACTGAGAAGATATTGACAACATGGGGGGAGGATGTGATAGTACTGTTAGAGGATCTACAGTCCTCTTAAGAGGGTTTGAGTTCTGTTAAACGGTTTTTGAACCTGATAAAGGAGTAGTTGATCTAAGAATCAATGGATTTGTCTGGAAGACTGAATCCTGAATCCATATGAGTTTAGAACTTATAACATTTATATAAAAACGTACTTTGGTTGAAATTTTTTTTTTTATCTTTTTAAAGTTTTTTTTTAA